TCAAGAAAAACAAATCAAAACGAACCTGAGATTTTAGGTCACACCCATCAGAATGGCTAAGATCAAAAACTTTATTCCTCCTTCATACAATACATCCAAACCACAGTTTCTGATCCCTCTACTCTTGCTTGTCACTTCCTTCACCTTCTCTCTCCCCTAGATCTGCTCCCCCTTCTTTTCCATTCAGAAAGTAGCAGGCCTTGCAGGCATATCAACCAAATATGGCAAAACAAAATGCAGTAAAAACTCTCATCTCAAGGCTGGTTGAGGCAACCCAGTAGAAGGAAAAGGGTTCAGGGAGCAAGAGAACAAGTCAAAGACACCCCATTCCCACTGTTAGTAGTCCCACAAGAACACCAAGCTACATAACCATAACATGTATGCAAAGGACCTACACAGACCCATGATTGAATTTTACTGTGATATTTTTCCTCTCTTGCTTCCTGAGCCAATTATTTTATTAACATTTTATATATAAAACATACACTCATTTACAGTAAATTTTCTATGTATCTTACTGGAAACCACATATTCAAATAATCATAAAAGTCAATAAAATACAAGCTTTTGTTAAGAACTATTTGTATTTGGATTTGTGCACTCTTTTCTTGGTTTACATTCTGTTCCTTCCATTAAGCATACACTTGTGTGCTCAGCCTTTATTTTAATAAAAATAACAAAAGTGAAGAATCATGGATATACCATGACATCATGAACAGTAGGTATCCAAACAAACAAACAAAAATGCCAATGACAAGACTGGAAGATTTGGAGCACCAGATTGTTCATATACAGCCCCTCTGATACAATGTGGAATAGACACTCTGAAAGACTGTAGCACAGCCTCCTAAACTTGAATGTGTGCATTCTATATGGGTGTGTGTTTCCTTTTTCGGGGGAGGTTTCCTTCTATTAACTTGTTGAAGATATAGTCCATGACCTGACTTGGAATTCTTCTTCCCTATCCATACCTATAATTAGAATGTTTAGTCTTTTCATGATGTTCCACATTTCCTCTATGTTCCTTTTCCTGCAGTTCCACCCCTCCCCCATAATATGTGCTTATTTGAGCCATATCCTCAGCTTTATCTTTGAGTCCTGATATTCTACATTCTGCTTGACATCTCCCACTTGGAAATCTTTCTTCTGAGGTTGTTGCCATTGAGGTATCCAGATTTTCAATTCCATCTTCATTTCAGCTTGAGTCTTCTCCAATATTTCTCTTTATATAATTGCATTTTCAGGTTGTGGGTTGTTATTCATTTTCATCATCCATATGCTTGTGTTTTCTTGGGCATCAGTCTGGCATTTATTCTTAAATTCTTTCTCCTAATTTCTTCTTTTTAAAATTTATTTTATAAATTACAGTTTATTCACTTTGTATCTCAGCTGTAGCACCCTTCTCTCATCCTCTCCCAGATCCCTCCCCACGACCACTTAAATGGGAAGTCCTCCTCCCCTTCCCTCTGACCCTAGCCTATCCTATCAGGTCTCATCAGGATTGGCTGCATTGTCTTCCTCTGTGGCCTGGTAAGGTTGCTTCTCCATCAGGGGGAGGTGACTAAAGAGCCAGCCACTGAGTTCATGTCAGAGACAGTCCCTGTTCCCATTACTAGGGAACCCACTTGAAGACAGAGCTGCCACAAGGTACATCTGTGCAAGGGTTCAAGGTTATCTCTATGCATAGACCTTAGTTGGAGTATCAGTCTCAGAAAAAACACTGGGCCCAGTTTTTTTGGTTTTGTTGTTCTCCTTGTGGAGCTCCTGTCCTCTCCAGGTCTTACCATCTTCCCCTTATTTCATAAGATTCCCTGAACTCCGGCCAAAGTTTGGCTATAAGTCTCAGCATCTGCTTTGATACCTTGCTAGGTAGATTCTTTGAAAGGCCCTCTGTGGTAGGCTCCTATCCTGTTCTCTGTCTTCTCCCTCTTCCAATGTCCATCCCATTTGCCTCTCTGAGTGAGGATTGATCATCTTGCCCAGGGTCTTCCTTCTTGCTTAGCTTCTTGAGGTGTACAGATTTTAGTATGTTTATCCTATATTATAGGTCTAATATCCACTTATAAGTGAGTATTACCATGTGTGTCTTTCTGATTCTGGGATAGCTCACTCAGGATAATCTTTTCTAGTTCCCAAAATTTGCCTACAAATTTCATGATTTCCTTGCTGTTAATAGCATAGTAATATTCCATTATGGAAATGTAGCCTATTTTCTGTATCTATTCCTCTGTTGAGGGAAATCTAGGTTTTCAGATTCTGGCTACAACAAATAAAGCAGCTATGAACATAGTTGAGTAACCAAAATGCCTGGGCCCAGGAGTGGAGAGAGGGCTGCAAAGACCAATACTCCAACTAAGGACCATTCATGGAGAGGGCCTAGAACCACTGTTCAAAGAAAGCCCATTGGCTGCTCAGTTTCCAAGTGGATTCCCTAGTAAGGGGTACATGGGATGTCTCTGATATGAACTCAGTAACAGGCTTTCTGATCACTCCCCCTCCATTGGGGGTAATGCCACCTTGCCAGGCCACAGAAGAAAATGATGCAGCCAGCCTTGATGAGACCTAATAAACTAGGGTCACATAGAAGGGGAGGAGGTCCTCACCTATCAGGGTACTAGCTAAAGGGCATAGGGAGAGAAGGGAAAGAGTGAGTAGGACTGGGAGGGGGCTGCAGTGGGGCTTCAAACCCCTGCACAGATGTAGCACATGACAGTTCAGTGTCCAAGTGGGTTACATAGTAATGGGAAGAGCAACTGCCTCTGACATAATCTGATTGGCCTGCTCTTTGATCATCTCCCCCTGAGGGGAGAGCAACCTTACCAGGCCACAGAATATGACAATGCAGCCACTCCTGATGTGATCTGATAGACTAAGATCAGAAGGAAGGAGAGGGGGACCTCCCCTATCAGTGGACTTGGGGAGGGGCATGTGTGAAGAAGGAGGAGGGAGGGTGGGATCGGGAGGGGAGGAGGGAGGGTCTTATGGGGGGATACAAAGTGAATAAAGTGTAATTAATAATAAAAAAATAAATGATATTTGAAAAAAGTGAATAAATTGTAATAAATAAATATATAAATAAAATAAAATTTAAAAAGTAAATATTACATTTATTTATGTGTATGTTCATGTGCTCACTGTGTAGACATGTCTACATATGTATTCCCATACATGCAACATCACATATATGAAAGTCAGAAAACAACTTGAAGGATGTGGTCCCCCCTTCTACCTTGTGAATAACAGGGATTGAGTCAGGTCATCAGGTTTGGCATCTAGAGACTTTACTTGCGATAGCAACTCATTGGCCCATGTCGTTCGTCTTATAACATGTATGTTTTCAAAACACATACAAAATACTAATGCAAACATTACAATATGAAATGAAAGGGAACTTTTACTTTATTATTGAGTTCCTGTATTAAATTCAAGAAAAGTTGGAGGCTAGGCATCCCTAAGGACTCTGAAAGCAGAAGTCTTTCCAACTGCTTGGTCCTGTTTAATCTGAGAATGGGAAACTTTCCAAGGCAAACAGAACTGTTACCAGTATATATCAGCCACACTGAGGTGAAGCAATCTCAGCGAAACTGGTCACAGCAGAAACACAGAATGAGAGGAAACTTCGATCAAAAGGAAGGACCTAGCCACAAGGTGATTCCCGTAGTGTGAGTACATCATAAAATGATTGTTGGACTTTCATTGCAACTATTCATTGAAAGATTGTTTGTTTTCGTAGCATGCGTTTACTTCTTTGATGACATTACAGTGAATCTTGTTTTTGTAATTGTTATGCTTGACAAAAAGTATTGCACAAGTTTTCCCTTCTAATAAATTCTCGAGACTTTTGGGCACTTAAGGCAGCTTTACACGTTCACATCTAATGATTTCTAATTATACTCTTACAAGGTCCAAGTATCTCAGATTGATGAAGTATTGTGTACACAGGCCACTAAACTTACTCTAACTTATTCTAATGTTATCTAATTATCTTTTTTATTATTGGATTCTGTATTTTCTCAAGAAACAGCCAATGTAGTAGAAAACTAGTTAATACAGATCAGGGGATATGAGAATGGGTATGCTTAGGATAACCATAGTTCACTTAATAACTCACAAAACCAATAAAAGGCATTCTCATTAATTTTCTTGAACTTCTCATAATCAAGTCCCATCAATTATCTACTAGTCCAGAAGTTATTTGGGGACTTTGGAAACTGATAAATGTGTTTGTTCTCCAGTTTTACTACTTTAGTAACTGATTTGCACAAGAAAATCAATACAATTATTTTCAGTAAGATATGATTTTTAAAGTTCTTGACAGAAATTGCACAATATCTGTTAATAGAATTTTTAATCTTCCAGTTTGAAACTTAAAAAAAATAAAGAAAATAACAGAAATGAAAATGAGCAATATATGACTGTTTAGAGACATGCTTCAATGTCTACAGCAAAAGGTCAAGAAAAGACATACTGCTGACAATATATCCTTCACACCTGGGTAATCAATTTATTTTCCGAATAGTCTTTTCCATATTTTGTAGTAAACTTGATCTAATTATGTGTGTTGATATTCAAGCAAAAAAGATTTGTGCCCAGGAATTTTGAGTTTATGTTTGAAAAATGTCAATAGATTGTCATTCTGGAATTATGATGGTCAAGAGGTTCCAACTATATCTCACATATTTATCAAAGAAATTATCTGATTTTTATGAAGAAAAGGTAGATGTAAGGCTTAGAAAATGTAAGATGATATACTAATTTTAAAATTGTACTTACTATATTTCAGGTGTCTGAAGCTATTAACCTATCATTCTACATAAAGGAATCTTCCCTGCTCAGAGACAATATAGAAACAGAAAAAGACATATTTTAAATTTTGGATGGATAGGTTATTGAGATATCAATTTGCATTCTTTCTGCTTCCTTGATTCTTAGCAAAAAGTTGTTTCAATTTAAGGAGTTCTTACTTTCTACCCCCTTCTGCCATTAATGTTCTTTAATAAATGGAAGACACTAACCAGACTATAGTGTCTGAGTTTATTTTGCAAGGACTTTGTACTTCAAAAAAACTTCAGATATTCCTTCTGCTGCCATTTTCCATCCTCTATCTGGTAACTGTGGTAGGCAACATCTTTATCATGATAGTAATCATCATTGATCATCGTCTCCATTCTCCCATGTACTTTCTGTTAGCTAATCTCTCATTCATTGACCTCTGCCTTTCCTCAGTAAATACACCCAAACTGACCATAGACCTCTTAAAAGATAATAAATCCATTTCCTTTGGGGGCTGCATGAGCCAGATCCTCGGTGTGCACTTCTTTGGAGGAGGTGAGATGGTGCTTCTGGTAACAATGGCCTATGACCGGTATGTGGCCATCTGCAGGCCACTCCACTACAGCAGCATCATGGACAGGCAGAAGTGCATCTGGCTCGTTTTGATATCGTGGATCATTGGATTTATACATGCCGTGAGTCAACTGATTCTAATTTTGGAGCTACCTTTCTGTGGTCCTAGAGTAATAGACAGCTTTTTCTGTGATATCCCTTTGGTGCTGAAATTAGCCTGCATGAACACTGATACTCTGGAAATTGTAATAAAATCTGACAGTGGTGTTTTAGCTACAACTTGTTTCATTTTCTTGCTCATATCTTACACTTACATTCTATTAACTGTTCGACGTCACTCTAAAGATGGCTCATCAAAGGCACTGTCTACATGTTCTTCCCATATCATAGTGGTTGTGCTGTTCTTTGGACCCATCATTTTTATCTATCTCTGGCCAGTCAATATCACATGGGTTGACAAGTTTCTAGCTGTGTTTTATACAGTCCTCACACCTCTCCTAAATCCAGCCATCTATACACTGAGAAATAAAGATATTAAGAACGCCATAAAGAAGCTGATAAATCACATGTGAATTCAGAATAACTTTTAATGATTTTATGTAATAAAAAATTTTGTTTTTTACATACCACTTTAGCCAAACCTTGACTTGAAATTTAATTATATATCATTTCTGCAAACTGTCAGTTGGTAGGTATTAATGTATGGTTATGAAAATAATTACTATGAAAGTACACTCAAAAGCCTAACACTTGTTGTTTTACCACTTACAGTAATATTTAGTGTATTAAACATTTTTATCTGAAGACTAGAAGATGATAAAAATGTCATATATATGATAATCATTACAATTTGTTGAGCATTATCAATGTCTGTAACACTGTACAATCACTATATTATTATTAATCTGTAAATTATTAATCACTTGATTATTATTAACAATGCACTGTTTAAATTACTTATTTAATATTACATAATAAAATACATATACAGGATTATGTGCCAATCCTAATTCTAATTTGCTACAGAAGATAATAAAGAAATTTACAAAGTTTGCATCTTCTAGAAATAAAAATGATAAAAAAGTAAAATCACAAGGTTAGTGGTCTCATCTGTACATAATCTGTCAGTTTTTAGGTCTTAACTACTCATATAAACTTAGAATTTTCATTTACTTTTTACAGAAAGAACAAAGTGTTTATAATATTTTACTATACTTCTGTCAGTTTATTGGCATCATCATTATTTTACTTTATAAGATGAAACAGCATAATGCCAAGGCCAGTTAGGTAAATATTACATGCCCTTGAAAATAAGATATGTATATTGTCCATGCTATCTACCATTTGATAATGTGTGTAATTTGTGGAATAAAACTATATGCATAAATGTTTATCATGGCTTGAAATCAAGTTTATATCCAAACAGAGATGGTAGGTCATAATTTCTAGTATATGTGTTCTAATATCTTATAATATCTTATAATGCTTATAATCAATTTGTATGTGTATTCAAATAAGTTAAATAGGTTATTACAAATTATCTAACAAAACATGCAAAGATCTGCATTATCTTTTGCAAAAATCAAATGATTAAAGGTAAGCACGGCTCATGTCTGGCCATACATCTTGCTGGTTACATATGACAGAGGTTTTAATATCTTACTCAGAAAATCTTTATTCAACTGTGCTGTTATATCTAACTCTTTTTTTTTAGATTTACTTTTTTTATAAAAACAGTTTATCCATTTTGTATCCCCTTTGTAGCCCCCTTCTTCATCCCCTTCTAATCCCACCCCCACTTTTCTATGTCCTCTTATGTCCCTTTCCAAGTCCACTGGTAGGGGAGGTCCTCCTCCCATTCCATCTGACCCTAGCCTATCAGGTCTCATCAGGACTGGCTGTATTGACTTTATCTGTGGCCTGGTAAGGCTGCTCCCCACTCAGGTGGAGGTGATCAAAGAGCCAGCCATTGAGTTCATGTCAGAGACAGTCCCTGTACCCATTACCAGGGAATTCATTTGGAGGCTGAGCTGCCATGAGCCACATCTGTGCAGGCGTTCTAGGCCATCTCCATGCATGAGGTATCAGTCCTTGATTGAGGTATCAGTCTCAGAAAAGACCCCTGGGCACAGATATTTTGGATTTGTTACTCTCCTTGTGGAGCTCCTGTCCCCTGCAGGTCTTCCTATTTCCCCCTTCTTTCATAAAATTCCCTGCACTCTGCCCAAAGTTTGGTTATGAGTGAGCATCTGCTTTGATAACTTGCTGGGTAGTCTTTAAAAGACCCTCTGATGTAGTCTCCTCTCCTATTGCCTGTTTTCCCCCTCTTCCCATTTCTGTCAAGTCCCCCTGAGTGAGGATTGATCATCTTACCCAGGATCCTCCTTGCTTAGCTCCTTTACGTGTACAGATTTTAGTATGTTTATCCTATATTATACGTCTAATATTCACTTATAAGTGCATATATACCATGTGTGTCTTTCTGCATCTGGGATACCGCATTCAGTATGATCTTCTAGTTCCCACCATTTGCCTGCAAATTTCATGATTTCCTTGTTTTTAATTGCTGACTAGTATTCGGTTGTGTAAATGTACCACAATTTTTGTATCCATTCCTCAGTTGAGGAGCATCTGAGTTGTTTCCAGTTTCTGGCTATTATGAATAAAGCTGCTACAAATATGGTTGAGCAAATGTCCTTGTTATATATTTGAGCATATTCTGGATACATGCCTAGGAGTGGTATAGCTGGATCTTGAGGTAACACTGTTCCTAATTTTCTGAGAAAGTGCCAGATTGATTTCCAAAGTGGTTGTAGAAGTTTACCTTCCCACCAGCAACAGGGGAAGCTTCCCCTTTCTCCTCCACATCTTCTCCAGCATGTGTTGTCAATTGAGTTTTTAATCTTAGCCATTTTGATGGTTGTAAGGTGAAATCTCAGGGTCGTTTTGATTTGTATTTTCCTGATGATTCAGGGTGTATATCTAATCCTTAACAATTTTAAAGCATCATATTTCTTTTATTATATATGCTCGTTGAGAATATCTGCAAAAGTTGATGGCATCTGGTTACTATCCGTGACCTCCTTCTTCTTCCCACCCTTTTTGATAGTGCCCTATACACAGGAATTCCTTTCTACATTTATGTATTTTTGTTTTCGTTCTTCACCCACTAGATTTAGCCATAGCATTCTGTTTGCTCATTGATTTGTAACTGTTCCTGGAGAGTGGTGAGCTAAGTGGGTCAGTGGGTCAACACCAAAGAAAATGTGTGGCCTTGCGTCCAAATCATCAGGTGCTCACTGCTCAGCAAGAAGATTTAGGACTACATAGCCTACTCACTGAACTACAATGGACTTCAGATAATGTGCTAACAATAGTACCTTTTGCTGAGTAATTATTTAGTAAAAGTTATTTTGTCTTGACTTCGCTATTATTTATATTTTACTTCTATGTGTATACTCCATCTTTGTAGCAAATAATGCATTAATAAATAATTCCTTGCTTGCATTATTGTAATTATTTAAATTTTTTGAATTATCTCAATCTGTGAATCTGACCTTCACAGTAAATTAAATACACTATTATTATTATTATTATTATTATTATTATTATTATTATTACTATTATACTACACAGAAATCATAAACCATATAAACCAGGTTAGATGTTCATTTTTTCAAGAATATATTGATGTTCAAGGTTGAGTAAGAAATCCAGCACGGTATAATTAGTATGCTACTTAAAAACCATTATTGTGAATATAACAGAAATTACGGTCACCAAAGTATGGGGATTTGTAGGAAAGGAGCCATGAGAAACATGAAGATATCTTCGAGAGTAAAAACAGAATAAAGTAAAACAACAAAACACAAAACATCTGGTTCACAAATAACAAGAGTATTCCCTTTGCACCCATCTCTGGATAGATATTATGTTAGCATTTTTTCTTTCATCCTTTGTTTTACTTATTCAATAATTTACTTATAAGAGTGTCATTTTGTACTTTAAGAAGGCTTTGAATCTATGAATTTTTTCCCTCAGTAAATTCCATTTTGCAAGTAAAAACATAAGCCACCTTACCGTTATTAGTTCTTTAACCCCCCTCTCCTACCTCCCACTGTCTTTTTCTTTCCCTTTCACTGTCTGTTTGTTGGTTGGTTGAGAGGATCTCATATAACCCAGGCTGGTCTTGAGCTCAATATTGATCTGAGATGAACTTAAATTTCTCATCCTCCTGCCTCTACCTCTTAAGGGCTGGGACCCCAGTTGTATCTCTACAGTCTGGTTCCTGCAGTACTGCTGATTAAATGCATGGTTTCATGCAAACTAGGACAAAGGAGGCATCTTAGTATGAAGAAAAGTTTTAAAAGGACAAAATTTGGGGAATCCATCAGATATTATAAAACAATAATGCTGGCTGAAGGGGTTAACTGCTGGATCACCTCAGACTGAAGTGGAACTAACAGTTGCTGGGCAGGTGTCCCTTTTGTATTAGGCTGTGCTGGCCTCTATGTGGGTTGTGTTCCTGGCAGTCTTTCTTCATGATTTCCATCAGACAATTGAGTAAGTGAATACAGCTACTCCTGATGAGACCTGATAGAATAGGACCAGAGAGAAGGGGAGGAGAACCTCCCTTATCAGTGGACTAGGGGAGGGGTAAGGGTAGGGAAGAGGGAAGGAAGCTGGGATTGGGGGGGAACTACAGGGGGAATGCAAAATAAATAAACCATAACTAATAAAAATAAAAATAATAAAAAATAAAAGAATACTTTTCAACAACCTCTTGAGTTCATTCACTTTGTGTTGTTAGGGCTCACAAAATTGTCTCTTTTTTGATTATTGCACATTGTTTTTTGTATAGAAGAGTGAAAGCAGCAACTTCTATTGCTCATATACCATGTTAAATGGGCAGTGCTAGGCACTCCACATAAAAATCAAAGGCCTGGTCCCAGTGAATACCTCTCCAAAATACTCCCACATCTAACACTCAGGGAACACTACAGAAGAGGGGACTGAAAGACTGTATGAGCCAGAAAATCAGGGTCTTTACTATGAGATTGTATCTACTAGAAGCATCAAAAGGTACACATTTACAGTCTTACCATCATGCTAACCAAACATAAGCTGAACAAAGACTACAATAAGAGAAGTCAAAGTGTATGGGGAAAAGCTTACAAAGTCTCAGTCCTACTCTCTCTCTGTCTCGTTGTCTCTATCTCTGTCTCTGTCTCTCTCTCTCTCTGTCTCTCTCTCTCTCTCAAACACACACACAGGAAAGAAAAATGAAAAAAAAAAACTATAGCAATTGTTTGCCCAGTGACAGAAAGTCATTCCTAAAACATACATACAAATAGCACTACACAAACTGAACAGATTATATTTGGAACCATAAATGTGTATAGAAATATAGAAATATATAGATATGAATGCAATAACAACTAATGATAAAAGAGGTCATGGAATTGAAGGAGCATGGAGGGCTATATGTGAGGTTTGGGAGGTTATTATGAGCATAACAAAAATATAATTGAGTCTAGTTAATATATGTATGTATGTATGTATTGAAGAAGCAACTATAAAAACAAATTGATTATATAAAATATTAAGAACATATTTGGGCCTGTAGTTGCTTTGTTGAAAAGACCTTTCAAATACAACAGTGTTTCTCTAGAAAAGAGCATGCAGAGCTGAAAATAAACTATAGTAAAATGTATGAAATGAAAACTATGAGATGAAGAGTTGAAAGGAGATTTTAAAATGCTTTGAGTACACACAGTGCCTATATGAAGTAGGAATACGCAATTTCTCTATATATGTATCTATCAAAACGTAATGGTGTTTACCTTAAGTACATATAATAGGGTAAATTTTAAAATAAAGACAAATTGTACAATCTGAAACAAGATTCCTGATTTCCTGAATTGTCTGATTCATAGGTGTGGTAGGGGTTGATCATAAAGTATCAAAAAAAGAGTGAGAAAGAAAAAAAAATGACTCAGCATTTCCAGGGCGGTGGGTGGGAGGATAATTACCTAAATGTACACATGCACTGTAAAGCCACGAAAGCATGTTTTCTCTCTTTTTCAAATAATTTTTACATTCATTCATATGGGTGCATGTGTCATGAATGTAGGCATGTTTATAAATGTGCACACATCCATGCAACAACGTGTGTGTGGACACCAGAAGACAACTGAATGAGCTGGATCTATCTCTCCACTCTGTGCATCCCAGAGACTAACTCAGGTTGTCAGGTTTGGCAACAAGTGGCTGTCTCTGCTTATGCATTTCAGGGTCCCATGTGATTCATCTTTTAACTTGTTAAGTTGTCATAACATAAACAAAATATTAACTCATAAATTACAAAATATTCATAACATAAAAGAAATAATTGTTATTATTGAGCTCTTGTATTTAATTCTAGAGGTTTTGGAGGCTACGCATCCCCAAGGACTATGGAAGTAAAAGGCTTTCCAGATACATGGTCACTATTTAATGTGCAAAATGGGAAACGTTCCAGGCAGACACAACTGTTATCAGAATATATAAGCCACACTGAGGTGAAACTCAGAGAAGTTGGTCACAGCAGAAACCACAATGTGGGTGTTTCAAATTCAAGGGACAATGGGAGGAAACATCATCTAAAAGTGAGAACATGTTATACAAGGTAATTTCTGTGGTGTGAGTACATCACAAGATAATTTTACTTTAATTTTCCATCACAATTACTAATTCAAGTTTTGTTTGTCTCAGCATCACATTCTTTTTACCTCCGTGAGAACTTTACAGCTGAGTCTTGAATTTTCATTTTTTAACTGTTCCGTTTGGCAAAAATATGGTAAAAATGTTCCCTTCCAACTAATCCTTGAGACTTAGGACACTTAAAGCAGTTTTGTACCCTGAATCTAATGTTCTCTTATTGTAAGCTTAAAAGTCTGAGTCTCTGAACTTGGAGAAACATCACGCTCACAGGCTACTAAGCTCACTCCAGTGTTATCATTGTCCTGTATTGTTGGATGCTCTATTTTCTCAATATATGGACAATAGAATAGGGAGCTACTTAACAGCGATTGGAGGGAGATGATGCGGATTAGAATAATCACAGTTCATTAAGAATTCACCAAGTGTGTGTGTGTGTGTGGGGGAAGATATGTGAAAATGCCACTGATATTCAAAGGGTTAAGTATAATCAATTTTGAACACATTGACATTAACTTTTATGTAAACCTAATTATTTTCACTACTGAAATGGGCCATTTCTATTTATTTGTAACAAAATGCCTTGGCTCACAAATGTTATTGATTTTCTTGGACTTCTCAAATACAGATTTCTATCATTTATCTCATAGTCTGGAAGTGACCCTGGCGCTTTGGAATGTTAAAGTCTTAATTTTGCATGACGGTTGTACTACTTTATAGAGCTGATTGACACAAGAAATCAATACACACTATTATTACTAACATACTGTTTTAAAGTACTTAACACATAAATTCCAAAAATCCTCCAATTTGATGACATTTTAATCTTCTAATTTCAAACCTAAAATTACTATGGAAACTTAGCAAAATAAAGATGAGAAGAGATAACTAATAAAAAATAAATAAGGGAGAAATAAATAACGGAAGTTAGAAAGGAAAAAAAGTAGTGAGACAGAAATGCAGAGAGGTAAAAAAAAGTAGATTTTATGAACACATTATTCAAACTATTGTTTTAAATCTCATCAATTAGCGTTGAAAGCCAGTAAGGATAGAACAGTAAGTAGCATCCTTCAGGCCTACAAATGTGTGACTGTTCACAGATATACTCCAATGGATGAGTCTAAAGTTCCAGGAAAGACACAATGCTGGCCATAAGTCCTTAGTGCCTTGATTTTCAAATTATTTGCTGAATCTTTTCTTAGCACTCATTTCATTAGACTTGATTCAGTTCTGTTTCATCAGACATAGTCAAAAGTAGATATGCGCTTGGGAATTTTGTCTTTATGTTTGAAATATGTCAATAGATTGCTATTCTGTGAATTTGACAGTCAAGTAAAGAGGCTCTAAATATGACTTATATAGTCGTTGAAGAAAATTATTGCTGATTTCATACAGAAGAGGTAGATTCAAGGGTGGGAGAAATGTAGAGATAATATTTGCTGCTAATATTTTTTTTAATTTTTTTACACTTTTTTATTTTTTTCTTTATTAATTAAACTTTATTCACTTTATATCCCCCCTGTGGTTCCCTCCCTCCTCCCATCCCAATCCCTCCCTTCCTCCACCCTCTGCATGCATGCCCCTCCCAAATCCACTGATAGGGGAGGACTTCTTTTCCTTCCTTCTGATCCTACTCAATTAGGTCTCATCAGGAGTGGCTGCAGTGTCTTCTTCTGTGGCCTGCTAATATTTTTAAACAATGTATGCAATTACATAGCTAAACATATCGTTTTTCAGATTGGTGAAGATTTTCCCACATTTAGGACAAGTCACTGATTAGAAAAATTATATAAGCATATGAAAGTTTTTTTTTCTTTTAATTTTGGGTGGCTACAATGCTAAGGTATAATTGGTAGTTTTATTTCTGCTTACATGAATCTGAACTTTGTTATTGTTTCTATTCCAGGATTTGTTACTTAAGTTCTAACTCTCAATCCATTAGAAAACAGTGTACTAAATGGAAGAAACAAACCAGACTGTGGTGTCTGGATTTATTCTGCAGGGACTTTGTACTTCACAGGAACTAGAGGTCTTCCTCCTACTACCATTTTCCATCCTTTACCTGATGAATGTGGTAGGCAACATCTTTGTTGTGATATTAATCATCATTGATCATCGTCTCCACTCACCCATGTACTTTTTGTTAGCTAATCTCTCATTCATTGACCTCTGCCTTTCCTCGGTAACTACCCCCAAACTGATCACAGACCTCCTAAAAGATACTAAAACCATTTCCTTTGGGGGCTGCATGAGCCAGATCCTCTGTGTGCACTTCTTTGGAGGAGGTGAGATGGTGCTTCTGGTAACAATGGCCTATGACCGGTATGTGGCCATCTGCAGGCCACTCCACTGCAGCAGCATCATGGACAGGCAGAAGTGCATCTGGCTCGTTTTGATATCGTGGATCATTGGATTTATACATGCCGTGAGTCAACTGATTCTGATTTTGGAGCTGCCCTTCTGTGGACCTAGAGTGATAGACAGCTTTTTCTGTGATATCCCTTTGGTGCTGAAATTAGCCTGCACGAACATTGATACTCTGGGAATCGTGATAAATGCTGACAGTGGTGTTTTAGCAACAACTTGCTTTATTCTCTTGCTGATATCTTACACTTACATTCTATTAACTGTTCAACTTCACTCTAAAGATGGCTCATCAAAGGCACTATCTACATGTACATCCCATATTATAGTAGTTTTACTATTCTTTGGGCCAGTCATTTTTATCTATTTGTGGCCAGTCAGCATTATGTGGGTAGACAAATTTCTTGCAGTATTTTACTCAGTAATCACACCTCTTCTAAATCCTGCCATCTATACACTGAGAAATAAGGACATAAAGAATGCCATAAGGAAGGTGATGAATCACATTTAAATTCTCATTCGGACAACTTCTGCACTCAGAAATTTATTGTGTATACACTATTTCATCCACATTTTTAGTTGAAACTGCATTGTATTATGGCTCATTTCTGGAAGCTGTGAGTTGAAGTTAGTATATGGTTATGAAAATAACCATTAGAACAATATATTCAGATTTATAAAAGTTATAGTTTTATTCCTTGCAGTAAGCAATAAATCTGCATAATATTGCACCTTTTTTTTCATTGAAGGTTAGAAGATGTTGATATTGCTGTATAAATAATGATCCCATGTTACTACACTTTATCAGTCACTTCAAATTAAAGTGAAATTCAGAATTCTGAAATTCACTTTAATTGTATTGTACTTTAAAAAGCCTCATTAAATTAGGTATCAATACTACCATCCTCTAAACTCTAGCATTATATGTCAATCCTAATTCCACCTTTGCCACAGAAAATATTGAATATATTTGTAAAGTCTACATCCACTTTTACATAAAAATACTGAACAAAGCAAATCATAATATTATTTGCCCATGTTGACATCATCTCTCTCAGCTTTGAAGTCTTAGCTATTCATATATATTCAGAGTTTTCTTTTATTTCATTCTTTAATTGAAAGGACAATGTGTTTATAATATTTGAAGATATTTTTATCAGTTCACAAATTTTTTGCATGATAATAGTTTTATATTATATAATGAAATAATCTAACTGCCAACACCAGTTAAGTAAATGTATGTTCTTGATAATATGATACATATAATATTTCATATTATATACCATTTGATATAGCTTATTTTATGTATAAAACTGATGTATACATGTTTATAATAGTTTGAGATATAGTTTATCCTAAATAGACACGAAAATCACAATTTCTTGTATATCATGCCCTAATATTTAATGAACTAATGGTTAAAATCAATCTGCGTATTTACTCTAAGTTAAAGAGATTGTGATACCATAAATTACCTAACAAAAAGACACGTAGACCTGTTTTCCCAAAACCATATGGTTATAGGTAAGCATGGCTCATGTCTGGCCACAGACCTTGATATGTACATATGTATAGTATCTTTGGTATCTTTTTAAGAAGAATTTTTTTCCATTTTGCTTATTGATCTCACAACAATTTTAAGTCACAATATTTTTATTAAATATGTTCTTTGACAATATCTGCAATAATCTGATTGCATTTGATTACTGTCTCTGGTCTCATAGTACCCTCCCTCTCCTATTACCCCCTTTCCCAGCCACACATACACATGAGTTCCTTTCTGCATTTATGTATTTTTGTCTTACTTTGTGACCCATTATGGTGAACCATAGCCATCTGTGTATCCATTGTTTGCAACTCTGCCTGGGGCACTAGGACCTCATCAGTGGGCCTTAAGTGAAGAAAATATGTGACACTATCCCAGCATCATCAGTAGCTCACAGTTCTACAAGGAGGTGCAGGAGGATCTAGGTACTCTAATAGGTGGTTGACTACTTTCTTGTGCAGGGGCTTTGGAAAGCAGCCTTGGGATCATGACTATACTAGCTGTGCTTTGCCCCCAGTATGGCATGCCACAGCTCTTGCATTTTTTCTGCCCTCTTCCTCATTCCTTCTCAGCATTATTTAATTTGGGCAGAGTGAATGGAATTTTAGGTAAGAAGTGGGAAATAGTAAGAGCTGGAGGGGACGGGAACTCCACAAGGAGAGCAACAGAACAAGATAATTTGAACACAGGGAACTTCCCAGAGACTCATACTCCAACCAAGGACTATTCATAGAGATAACCTAGAACTCCTGCACAGATGTAGCCCATGGCAGTTCAGTGTCCAAGTGGGTTACATAGTAATGGGAAGAGGGACTGCCTCTGACATAATCTGATTGGCCTGCTCTTTGATCACCTCCCCCTGAGGGGGGAGCAGCCTTACCAGGCCACAGTAGAGGACAATGCAGCCACTTTTGATGAGAACTGATAGACTAAGATCAGAAAGAAGAGGAGAACCTCCCCTATCAGTGGACTTGGGGAGTGGCATGCATGCAGAAAGGCGAGGGAGGGTGGGATCGGGAGGGGCTCATGGGGGGATACAAAATGAATAAAGTGTAATTAATAAAAAAATTTTTAAAAAGTGATTTTAAACCAACAGACAGGTTGCATACCAACAGAACACCTTCAGAACATCTTGCTAAACTATATAATTAAGCTATTAAATGATCCTTTATTGTCTGTGTAATTGTTAAGAATATAAATTTTATTTAAAATTTAACAATTTAGTGACAGTACCTGTATGTAGTGTCTGTTTCAAGAAGAAGCACAAGAGATGACAGGTAAAGGAGCTTTCTGATAGACCAGAGGACATGAATTCAATCCCCAAAACCACATGGTAGAAGGAGGGTAAGAACTTCCACAAGTTTTGATCTGACATCCACAAGTATTCCAACACATACACACACAGAATATTTAAATAAATAAGTAAATAAATATTGAGAAAAATGAATAATCACAATGGAAGTTTTAAATACTTTTAGCTAATGAAAGCATGAAAAACTATATAGAAAACATTGAATACAGCCAAAATAGTGCTTTGAGAGATAGTGTGTGTGTTTATGTGTGTGTGTGAATGTGTGTGTTCAATATGAAAACCATGTCGATGAACAAATTATCACAAACTAAAAGTAAAGAAAGGAAACGTTTAAAGTACCAAGGTATTTTTAACAATGAGGCTGGTTATTCCATAGAACCAAGTAATAATATACAATTAGATCAAGAAAGAAAATAGACACAGATATATAACATATTATATATATGCCTCCAATGCAATAAATTTAAACTTTATTTGAATTTTATGAATGTTTTCTAAAATCAAATTATTAAAGCAAAAGTCTCTTAATTAAAAAAAAAACTCAAGTGTAAGTGTGTGTCTGAGTGTATGTCAGTGCACCATGTGTAGGCAGGAACACAAGGAGGTCAGAAGAGTCATTGGACGCCTGGAACTGGACAGACAGTGTGAGCTGTCACATGAGAAATGAACCCCAGTCTTCTCTAAGGTCATCAAGTACTTCCAGCCACTAAACCATCTTTCCATCCCAAGAAAGGCTATCTTAAGTCATACTAATTGTAAAAAGCAATAATTTTCACTGCAAAATACTCGCAGAACTCTCTGATGTTCAACAATAACACTCGTTCCTCCTACTGTCCATTTATTTTCCCTTTCACACCCGTTGGTTCCTTTCTTCATCCCAGTTACTACTTCTGTTTTCATTTATAAAAGTAATATTTTACAACATGTGTTCTCTCTCCATGTCAGTCTCATTTCACTAAACATGATCTGTATTTTTATTCCCTTGATGTAGCAAAGTAGGATACATTATAGTCTCAAAACCACAATGCATCTCTTTCATTTCTGTTTTGTGGTGTTGTTGATTTTTATTGTGAGGTCTTCTTTGTCTTGTTTTGTTTTATCTTTTGGTACTAAGGGTGAAACCCAGTGTCTCATGCATGCTAGGGAAGCTCCCAAAACTGAGCTATATATTCCTGGCCATTTTTTTAAATTTTAATACTTGTGTTTTTATTATTATTATTATTATTGCTGTTATTATTATTACTAACAATTAATCACTTTGTGTCCCAGCTGTGGACCCTTCCCTCATCTCTTACCAGTCCCATCGTCCCTCCCTCTTCCCTCCCTTTGCCCCTAGTCCACTGATAGGGGAAGTCCTCCCCTCTATCTAACCCTAGCCATTCAGGACTGTCTGGATCCTCTTTCTCTAAAAACTCTGGGTCCAGGCAGGCCTACAGAGACTGATGAGTCAACCAAGGACTATGCTTGGGGAGGACCTAGACCCCCTGCTCAGATGTAGCCCATGGGCAGCTCAGTCTCCATGGGGGTTCCCTAGTAAGGGTAGAGGGGGCAGTCACTGGTATCAACCTGGTTGCCTGCTTTTTGATCATTTCTTTTTTAATTGAAAACATGAACTAGGCCCTTACTAAGCATCTCAGGTTGTCTTTGATTTTGCAATTTTTCAAACCCCCGCTTCCCAAGGACCTGGAACTAGAGGCCTGCATTTTCAGGCCTCTAATTCCTCTAAGTTAGTTAAATGTGTATTTGCCAAATATCTAACCTTTCAATATAACAGCTTTCAAAATATCAATGTCATCACTTCAGAAGTAGAAAAATATAATCTTAACATTAATATGAAAGCACAAATCAGTCCAAACAGTTAAAGGAATCTTTATCATTGGAAGTAATGCCAGACACCTCATGTCACCTGGTTTTATTACACCACGGATTCATTACAACAGCATGTGACAAGCACAAAAAATAATGCTGACCAATTCATTATTGAGAAATCAACTTATAAAGCCAAGTGCTATGGCGCATGCCTATGATACAATCACTCAGAGGGCAGAGGCAGGCAGATCTCTGTGAGTTCAAGGCCAGCCTTTGAAATTACTAAAAAAGTGAAATTACTGAAATTACTGAAAAAGATGATGGGAACACTTCAAGTATGGCATATGCAAGTATTTTCTGAATAACACTCTAAAGTCACAGGAAACAGTAGAAAGAATTGACAAATTGCATTCCATGAAATTAAAAAATTCTACAAAGGTAACAAATAAAGGAGTGACTAGATAGCTCCAGAATGATAAGCCCAAGAAGGGCTTACCATCCATACTGTGTAAAGAACTGAAAAAGCAGGGAGCAAACTGAAACTGAGTGGGCAAATGAACGAAGTATACATTCTTTTTTGAAGAAGACATATAGATGGCTAATAAATACATGAAATGGCACATTTAGTCATTAAGAAAAAATATATTTTAAAAATATTACTGTTATTTCTGTTTGGGAAAGTATATATGTGAAGGCTGTGCCCATGGAAGTCAGAAGAACATCCATTTCTTAGAACAGAAATGGGTCCAGAGCTCCTTGAGCTGGAACTGGCCTGAATGCTTCCTCCATGAGGATGGTCTTTTATGGTAGTAGAAGGACCCACTACTTTATGGTTCCTGAAATG